TTCAATTAATTCCGATCACTTACTTGCAAACATAAGAAAAAAATTTATGACGGTCAATGTTAAACTAAGGGAACATAGCATACACGAAACAAGAAAGAACATGGAAATGGGAAGACAGATGTCACAAGATTTCTTTTAAATTTGAGAAATGTCGTGATATTAAGGAGATTGTGTGCTGCAGTGGGTTACTAAACCAGAAGCTCCAGGGTCCAAAGCCTATCCAAGACTGGATGTGTTTGAAGGTGTGTTCATAATGTGGCCAAATAGATTGAGTATCAAGTTACAATCCCTGTCAAAAATCGCAATGGCAGGTATCAAGAAGGGAGGAGACTTCTGAATGTGATGGAAAGAAATTGGAGCCTTTGTCATCGTATGTGCAACAACAGAATTTGATGCTGCTTTCTCTTTGTCAATTTAAACTCATGGCACAATTACAGCCTGTCCAATTTCAACAGTAATGTATTAGCTCTCAATGTCCTTACGAAGATTTTAACATAGACTTACTTGATGCTGATTTGCTTTTGCCAACTGGTCATTCGCTGCAACAACATTCGAAGCTGCACTCTCAATGTTGGCTTCAATGCTGTCTGTTAATTGAAGATTAAAATGGTATAAAAATGATGAGATCAGCAATGCCTTTGAAACAGATTTACCATTATGTTGTCTCAAGTTGGAAGATCATAATCTCAATAAACCTGTCATTTAGTAAATGAGATAGTGACTAACAGTGAAGATATGTTGATACCCATGAATTTCTTTGCCCAGTACCTTAATTTATCAGGTAAATTAAACATTCATGGAACAATGAAAAAGAAGTTGTAGAAAAAAAATTCAATAAGGCGATGCAAGAGATGAAAAGCTTTCATTATGAAGAGCAACTTGACAAATTAAGACACATTTTGTCAAGCCAGGAAGGTGAAATGAAGATCTGATTTTTGTTTTATTCTTTCTAATGATATAACCGAGTTTGGAAAGATGCATCAATTCATTTCTAGTCTCACTGCTCCATTAAGCATATCAAATTTTAAATTTAACTCGTGTGGTGATATGCTCAATTCCCAGTTGGCTGGTCAGCTGGTGCATGATGCACAATAACACCAACAACACGAGTTCAATTCCCACATTGGATGCGGTTAACGTGAGGAACTCATCTTCTTAACCTTTTCGCTCACCTGAGTCATGATGATTCTTAGGTTAAACTGTGACCAGTTGCCCCTCTCTCTCTCTCGAGTAGCTCTATGATTCTGTTGGACGACTGTGACTTTACCTTTACCTTTCACAGACAATTATATATATTTTACACTGAATCTGGGATAACATTTTTAAAAGAAACCGGCTGGTTTTATTTCATCAACATAGTATGACTAGTTTAGTACAAATAAGATGCACTCAAACAAATATGCAAAGATTATTTACAGTAAATGTGGGGAAAACACGTCAGGGTCTGGCACCAGACAAACAGAGGTAACATTTTCAGTCTGATATGTCTCTTCTCCAGATCTGAAAGGGGCTGGGAAATGGTTGTTTTAATGCTGCTGACAGAGAGGGAGCTGGAGGAGCAAAAGGAACAGATGCTGAGGGTGCCCAGAGGAAAAGTCAGAGGGAGTGATAATAGTGGTAAAAGATAGATAGAGATGTAAAGTTAGTGTAAATGAATGGTGTGAGAAGAGAAAATGGGCTGGCTCTGCTGACAGCAAAATAAAAAAGTCTCAAACAAGACATGCCCAGGGATTGTGTGTGGGCGCAAGGAGCTCTGTAATAGAGGAAACGTCATGTTGTGAAATAGTGAAATTCAATATTGAGTCCTAGAGACTGTAAAGTGCCGAAAGGGACTCCAGCTCATGTTGATCTTCATTGGAATGCTGTAGCTTGCCCAGAATGGAAATGTTAGCAATGGAGCAAGGCATCTTGTTTAAATGGCAAGTAACTGGAAGGTTGGTGGTTATTCCTACTGAGACTGCAAAAGTGTTCAGCAAAGCAGTCGCTCTGGCTGGGTTTGATCTTACCAATATAAAGGAGACCACTTTTTCAGCAGCGAATGCAGCAGACTAGCTTGAAACGTAATACAAGTAAAACATTGCTTCACTGGCTAGGTGCGTTTGGGACCTGGGACAGTAAGGAGGGAGGAGGTGAATGAGCAAGTGTTATAACTTCAGCAATTGCATGGGAAGATGATATGTGGATAAGAGGATATTTTGGAGTGATGGAGACTATCGTGATGGGAAAAGACTCTGTGGAATGCCGAGGGAAGGGAAGATGTGCTTGGCAATGGCATCCTGCTGAAGGTGTTGGAAATGGTGGAGTGATCCTTTGAATGCAGAGATTGGTCGGGTGGAAAATGAGGACAAGGGGAACACAATGTTATTATGGAATGGAGGGATAGGGTAAGGGCTGGAAATGGGTTAGACACGACTGAGGAGGATTCAGTTAACTGCAGTATGGGGGAATCTTGTTGAGGAGAAAGGTGGTCATGCCAGAGGTAGCTTGGTGGAGGGTCACATCATCGGTGTGAGTGAAACAAAGACAGAGAAACTGGGAGAACACAACAGACTCTTTGCAGGAGGCAGGGTGTGAGGAAGTGACATTGAGGTAGCTGTGGGAGTTGGTTGGTTTGTAGTGGATATTCTCCAGCAACATATCACAGAAATGTAAACAGAGATTTGAAGGAAGGGAAGAGTCAGGGATAGATCATGAAAGATGGATGGAGTTTGGAAGCAAATTAACTAATCTTTTCCAATTTGGGATGAGACCTGGACGTCGCACCAATCACATTCATCAGCATGGGGAGGGGGGTGGGGGTGTGCGGTGGTGAGAGTGAGAATGCGAGTGTGAGTGGGAGTGAGAGCGTGTACGTAGGACCAGAACATGGAATGTTTCACATACTCCACAAACAAACATAACACGGACACATTCAGTTGTCCACCTCCATGTCTATGACTTAGAAAAAGTGAGATGCTTTAGAGCAGAAGTTGTTCAAAACATCAAAGTCCCAGTAACTGGGGCATATATTTAAGATCATTAGCAAAATAAACAAGGGAGAGAGGAGACCATTGTTAGGGGATGGAAAAACCTACCAGAAATGCAGGCAGGCCACTCCACCAGATAAGGAGTTTGTGGTAAATAACTTGACCCATCCTTTATTCCAATTCCTGGCCAAACATGTTTCCAACTCAAATATGACAGCGTGAGTTGAATTTCTTTCCACTATATCTCCAATAGGAGATCCAAAAGCATTCTTTTTAGGGGAGTATATAGTTGAGCAGCTAACCCAAATATTATATCTGAACTTGGAGTAACTAATGTTGATTTCCCTAAAATGGGCAAGCCCAGTCTCCCTCCCATTCGTGACAGCAACAATTCTATATTTCTAAATAAATCTAATTTCATTGGCAGCCTCCTGTATTTATCCTGCTCAATAAATTAAAAATGGGATGAATTAATGGTGCCAGCCATGTTCCTTCATTGATATCGCTAGGCTCAGATTCAATATTCTCTGTGAGTTAGCAGAGCTAAGGAAACGGAGTGTGTTCTCAACACTGGGTCAGAAAGTGTGGATACCCTCAAGAAATGATCACATGCCTAATGGCATCCCGACATGTCATTTATGCTGAAACAATTTTGCATTCCATAAAATAATCATGCAAATAAATTTATTCAAAACTTAAAATGCTTTTAAACAATAAAAACCCAAATCAGATGCGAGTGTGCAATTAATCACCATTAGTCAGCTTTGTCCTCAGCACTCTCCTTTAAACTTGAGATAAACAACAGTAACCAGCTGCTCTTATCTTGTCCATTCAACTAAAACTTAATCGCTTAAGGACAGCATATGCTGCTAACCTTGTATCTTTGGTGTTACTTTAAGTTGAAAGTGAACATCTCAACAACAATTCAGTACCTCAAGTTTGTCCCACCATTTAATCAGAGCATTTTCATCACATCCAAAGAATTGATAGCCTTTGCTGACAAAAATCTATTAATCTAGGTTTATATCAGAAGAAAAATACTTGATATTACATTCCTCCCTGCCATTTGATATGTTCTGGTGCCTGTCTTTTTTTGTTCTTCCATGGTCTAATCAATGAACATTCATCTTTGTTTCAAAGTCAATCTTATTGATGTGATTTAGCTGTAAAACGTAATGTACCAAAATCAAGACAATCAATGCACCTTTGGGCATTGCTCTAAGTGCCCAATTTTACATGTTTAGTGTTTTAATCTCAATACAAGTTTTACAAGGGAGAGATAGGTAATCAAGGAGTTGATTCTCAAGAAATTACATCAGAAGTTAGTAAACAGGAAACATGATCCAGAAACAGAATCCATTTTAATGCAAACTGAAATCCAACTCCCTTCCAAGCATACATTTTAGATTTTTGTTTTAATTTAATGATTCCTCAATACGTGGATAACAGCCTTCTCTGGTTGCTGTAAGGTGTTGGTTGTTTTTTTCCCTTGAATCAATGATGATCTTTGGGAATGGTACACATAGAGTGTTATTGAGGATGTAAGACAATAGGAGGATCATTTACACCCTCAGGAGCTGCCTGATAATCTGATGGAGTAGATTTTCCAACTTTTGCAGAATTTAATGAGGTGAAAATCAGGCAAATTTAGAATGGATGGTAGTCCAATACCTGTGGTAAAATCGTACACTTTCCCATGTGTTATTTTCAAAGAAATTGGTAAAAGAACCCGCCAGGAGATGAAAAGAAGGTTTTATCCATCGAGCTGCTCTAACCAGGAATGTATTTTCTTGACCATGGGAAAAGATTGCAGGTTCGTGGGAAAGAGTGGGAATGTCGAATTTTAAGGAACCAACATAGTCATGAAGGACTGAGTACCTTAATGTATGTTGTGCAATTTTATGTCCGGAAACCAACCAGTGTGTTGTAAAGTTGGGGTGAGCTGCTACTTACTTTGAAATGAACAAAATATACAATTATATATGAGAAGAAAGAAATAGCAATTGTTTTGTTTAAAATGTACCCAAAACTCACCAATGTTTTCACCCTGTTCATGTACCAATAATGCTAGATCCTTGATAATCTGATTCACATCAAGCATATCTGCCTGTGGACAAATTGAAAAAAAAATCATTAAATCAATGTGCAGGCTGAAAGATCAGTTTTCTGCAGCACAAACCCCAGGAGATATATGAATCCTTAACAAAGTTTGTCAATCTAATAAGGGGAAGCAGTTTATTTTTCTAACACTTCCCTTTAAACTTTAATCAACTAGAAAAGACCTGAACAGTCAGGGTATAACAATCCAGAAATGTAATTTATTTAAGTTTAACAACACTTAAATGATTCATAAAAAACATATTGATAAGAACAACGTCATTAATTTTAAACTGATACTCGAGTGTAAGGCAATAGGCAAGAATTGATGAGCAGGTGGTGATTATGTGTCCAACCCCCTGAATTTTTTGTGATCGTTTGAGGCTATTATTTAAACTCATAGGCTTTATTTGAAGGGTTAACTTCCTGACCACATTGCAGATCAGTCGGTGGATGCAAAATTGCCATGGCAAGGTTGCAATTTCCTGTCTGCATTTCTGTTGAATAATTGTGGAAGGCATTTAAATATAGGACTCTGGAACAGGAATAGGCCATTCAGCTCTTCGAGCCTGCTCCAATCAATATGATCATGGCCTATCCTCCATCTCAATGCCATATTCCCATTTTCTCTCCTCGATGCCTCTAAAATCTTAAAAAAAAAATCTTTTTTTGAATATATTCAGTAACTTGGCCTCTGTGGCAGACAGATCCACAAGTTTGTTACCCTTTGAATGAAGAAATGGTTCCTCATCTCAGTCCTGAATGCTCTACCCTGTTTATGTCCACTGGTTCCACACTCTTCAGCTACGGAAAGAATCCTCCCAGTATTTAGTCTGCCCAGCCCATTAGAATTTATATATTGCAATTATATCCCCTCTTGACCTTCTAAAGGCGAGTGAATAAAGACCCATTTGAATCAACCTCTCCTCAGTACCTCCAGGAAAAAAGTGTCAGGAAAATGCTGAAGGACGTCTTCCTGCAAGCCTAAATAGAACAAATGAGAACACGGAGGGAAAGAGAAATTTGCAAAGCGTGGAATGTTTTTCTATATTAAAGTTATTCTGTAGCACTGTCTGCCTGAATCATTGGTCACTTGCCTATCCATGAATATCAATCTAGAATAGTTCTAATAGCGAGGGACTAATAATAAAAGCATTTGAAAATACTAGCATCCAACTTGTAGATATGAGAAGAAGGACAAATGTCAGGGTTTAAAAGATACCAGCGCTACTAAAAGAACATTGTCAAATCTTTTAAAATGTTCATGGTAAAGTGACACAATGCAGGGTGCAATGGAAGTTTCTTGAGTTTTTCCAGTTGTAGCAGTCATTGCTGAAATTTGGGCAGGCATGGCCTTTCAAGAAAGTTGGTGGTTTTTAAGAGCTAAGATAATATCTTAATTCACTAAACTCAACGAACAATAGTAAGGCTCAAACCAGTGTGAATTTCATTCAATCAAGAGGTTTGCAATACTCAGAGATGGCTGATGTGATGCAATGTGATTGTAAAGATTGTGTCTCTGTGAGGTGAAATATGAATCATAGTATTTGTGTAATTTCTTATTCACAGTCAGTCATAAATGAATAATAGTTGTATTGAAAAATATTCTATTTCAATATACATATAACAGTACATCTCTGATTAGAATGTTTCATGATAACATAGAGATCCTTTTTCAATAGAAGCATATCAAATTAAATCAATTGTTACAATAACAATGGTGAATATCATAACTAACAGAGCAAATTATTTTTTCATCATGTTAAGAATGATCGTTGCTATGGTTTCTTTCTTTAAGGTTAAGTGAATAATTATTACATACTTTTCTCTCTGCAGATGTCAAAGCACACATGCTTTTTAGGACAAGTCTGGCATTATTACTGTATGAAAATAATTTTCATTATATAGTGATTTTCATGAAGTGTGCACCTCAAAAAGACTGTTTTAGGATAGTGCAGGCTGAGTAGGAAGTGGGACTAATGAAGAGTGATTGACAATGTAGCTGAAGGAGTCAACTTAAAAGAGATTGTTTAAGGTAGAGACAGAGGGGTCAAGGAAAGAAGGGTTTTAAGACAGCTCCAGTATGTCGAAGCATTCCTCCACCATTAATTGAAAACAACAACTTATATTCATGCATCACCTTTTGCATCATGGAACATCTCAAAGCCCTTCAAAGGCATGTTATGAAACAAACTATGAAAATGCTGCTCTTTTATCTTCCAACTGATCCCTTAACTATCCAGAAGCCCCTGGTTGGTATTTCTTTCTCTATATTGTATTGATCATTTCCCCACACAGATCAACAAATTTGATTTTGTAATTTTTCTCATGATCTAAACAAGAACTTGAATTTCTATAGCATCTTTCAAGAACTCGGTGCAATCCCAGTTGATTTATATTCCAAAGAGCAAGGGCCCACAGGTGATGTTGACCAGATCATCTGTTCTCATGGTAATTGAAGGTTTTATTACTGGCAATGGAGTAGAAACAGAGGAAGGAATGTATCTGTTGAGACAGGGTTTGAACAGATTTCTGAGATGATATGGAGCAACACTATAGAAGGATTTGAAAAGGAGGATCAGGGTTTTAAATGGGATAAGAACAAAAGTTGCAACAAAAAATAGAGAAGTAGACCACTAGATCAATTTGTCACAGGTATTAAGAACAAATCGTAACCTGGAATATTCTATTTGAAAGGCTGGTAGAAGCAAATTGAATAGTCATTGCCATGAGGCAATTGGATGCATGCCTGAAAATGGGACAGAGAACAAAATAAACATTTACAGGGCTATCGATAAGGAATGAAGAGTGGAACAAATTTAATATGGCTTTCAGAGAGGCAGCACAGGAATGATCGACCAAACGGCTCACTCTGTGATATCTGATTCTAAGAAACTAACATTGGCAGTCACAATTAGGAGTCCAAGATTCTGTGTTGCCCAGCCAATGCCAGCAAAGGCATTTCCTGAACAGACTGGAATCAAACTTGGAAAGGGAGGTGAAAGAAGCAAATGTTGAGGTCTATTTTGGAACAAAGAATATAGAAAAGAAAAGGAAGAAGCTCCGCTGCACAAGGAAGTATCACAGGCTAAGAGTAATTCCTATTGATTACTACCTGGGCTAGTTAGTATAGAGATATTAAATCATCATATTAAAAATATATTTCAGCAACCAAATGTTTAAAAAGTGTGAGAAATATATCATTAGGGCATGTGGGACACAATATGAGCAGTTGTCCAACAAAATTTATATTCCCAAATTCATGCAGTGCAATAATTAAAAAGGCAGAACACATATTCGCTTTCAAAGGCATGTCGTAGTCATAATTATGAAATGGGTATGAGACAGTAGCTGTTCTAGACACCTGCCTACAATGTGTTAGAGTAGACAATAAAAAGATCTGGTTACAAGAATGCATTAACACCTAAGTACTTCTTGCATTGGAATCTTACTAAAAGGCCTAGGAAATCCACTAAACTTCACTATTGTGCAAAGGTCACTGAGGCTTTAGACCACAAACATAAGGCCAACAAACTTCACATTGTGGTGCTAATTAATAATTTCCTTAAGAATTCTCTCAGAACAGGAAAACAGGGATCTCTCATGGTTGAAAATGAAACAAAATGTTACATAAAAACAATAATATGCCTCCACAAATCTGAAATCAGATGCTTCACAATAATAGATGTAGAAATTAAAGTAATGATATGTTCTGTAAATCAGGCTTTGCACCCTTGTTAGCACATTAAATGCTGAAATCAACTACTGAGACTAAGCAAGTATGTGAATATCAAGATAAAGGGCAATTTATCTGAATCATATTGGAAAAGATTTCAGAAAACTTGCTGTTTGCTGTGTGCTTCCTATGTTTGATCAGGGAAGGAGGACGTGAAGCCATGAGAGTGAAAGTGGATGGGAATTCAGGATTTCATTCAAAGGATGTAGAAATCAGGCATGCAGAAAATTGAAGTCTGACATACAAGTACCAAGTTATTATAACAGAAAGTGTTGGAAATACTCCACTGAACAGGCAACATTTGTAGAGAGAGAAAATATTTCAGACCCATTGTTTTCAGTCATTTCACAAATAAATGTGATGGGGTCATGTGAGATGCAAAAAACCTTAAAAATATCAACAAAATCACTGAGTTTAATGGAAGTTAGACAGTTGCACCAGTCTCAGGAGACAAGTACATCTTTTAGATATTATTATGCCCCAAACTTAGCCTGTATTCAGGTTTCAGGTCTGGTGCAAGAGTCCTAAGAGAACAGTGGTCAAACCAAGGCTTACAAGGGAAGCTAGAGACAGTATTAGATGGAATAAAAGAGGATACAAATTGGCAAGAGAAAATAATATGAAAATAATAATTTGGGCGGCATGGTGGCTTAGTCGTTAGCACTGCTGCCTCTCAGCGCCAGGGACCCGGGTTCAATTCCAGCCTCGGGCAGCTGTCTGTGTGGAGTTTGCAAATTCTCCTTGTGTCTGCATGGGTTTCCTCCGGGCGCTCCAGTTTCCTCCCACAGTCCAAAGATGTGCAGGGTAGGTGGATTGGCCATGCTAAACTGCCCATAGTGCCCAGGGATGTTTAGGTTAGGTGGGTTAGACACAGGAAATTAGGGGTAGGGGAATGAGTCTGGGTGGGATGCTATTCGGAGGGCCGGTGTGGACTTGTTGGGACGAATGGCCTGTTTCCACACTGTAGGGATTCTATGATTCTATGAATAAACCTGAGAATTGGGAGCAGTTTAGAAATCAGCAAAGGAGGACCAAGGGGGAGTATAGAGTATGAGTGTAAACTTGTGAAGAAGCAGCTGTAAAAAGATTTTATTGGCATCTAAAGAGAAAAAGATTGGTGAAAACAATTATAGGTCCCCTACTTCAGAAACAAGATAATTTATAATGGGGGACAAAGAAATGGCTGGTGAACCAAGTTCATATTTTGCCTCTGGGCATGGGAAAAGTACCAAAAATGATGATATAGTGGTTAGTGAGATGGAGGAGCTGAAGCA